TATGACGTCAACCACTTAACTCACCTGATCGCTTGCCATATACACTTCCGTTTAAAGACGGTCTGCGGATTTTTGCAGTGATTGGACCCATGGTTGCTGCATTGTCAAACCCTGTGAGAGGACTTTCATTACTAAAATACAGTGAATCTGTTTTTATGACGTCAACCACTTAACTCACCTGATCGCTTGCCATATACACTTCCGTTTAAAGACGGTCTGCGGATTTTTGCAGTGATTGGACCCATGGTTGCTGCATTGTCAAACCCTGTGAGAGGACTTTCATTACTAAAATACAGTGAATCTGTTTATAATTTGTCACGAGTTAAAAAAGTTTAAGCGCCTTTCTTTAATTCGCATTGTAATAATTATTCTAATCAATAGTTCGATTTAAGTTCTGTTTGATATGTAGATTGTGATGCCATCTCGTGTGACTCACTTGAATGAAATACACTGTGGAAAACTTCTATAGGAATTGCGAAAATGTTTTCAACTGCGATAACTGAATTATAAAACTAGGTTAATTAGTTTATTAGTAGTATTCATGCTAAGCCTAATTTCGCTGAATTTGCTTAGATTTGTTTCTGTGAATATTTATGCACAGTTTTTGTTGTTGTTGTTTTCAGTTTTATTCATGCATTATTATTTAATGTCGCTAACTTCCCAGAACTTAGTAATTGATATCTAAAACTTTTGATTATCTGTCATTTTATTAGCAATTTTTGGCAGATTTAGGGATATTTAAAGAAACGCAGATTCAAATCAGTACTTCACTAATAAATGCGCGGGAAACTGTATAAATATCTGAAACATAAAACGCTGTTTCGAATCCATTGTCACCTGATGAAAGAGTATTTCAGTGAATTAAAACACCATCCGGATATTACGCTATATAGAATCTTTACTTTTACGTTTGTTAAGAAAAATAACTGGATAATTTTTCTAGTTCTACGTAAGCCTACGAAACAATAATCCTTACAATTTGCAACAACAAAAACATACTGACATCTGACAAATGACACTTTATTCTTATTATATTTGTATATAATATATATATATATACTCATTTATTTATTTATCCCATTTTTTACGCCTAATCACTTACATGTTTCAGAAGATTAACTGTAAATATAAAACTGTAATAAACATACCATTCGACCTAGCTCTTTTCCCAAAGATACTTCCATTGAAGGTTGGTCGTTTGTCGCCATCAGCAGAATATATCACCAACAATATAGACATGATAAACACCAAAGAAACTGAACATCTTTTGGAAACCATGCCTTAACTGCAAAGAAAATAAATCAAAGAATATAATAAGATGTGTGTATCTTAGCATATCTTTGTTCTATATCAGTAATTTTAGATAAATTTCAAAGTCTCTCATCTATTAAAATAGAGGTAAATTTTGAACATTTCCTGATAATTTTGGTATCAGAGATTTTTACCTTCTTTCCATTTAGAGAATCATCTCCAGGAGTTCAATCACGAAACGTTATAGGTACAATTAGTATCACAAGAAAAGTACATTATATATATATATATATATATATATTGCATTGGGAGTTTCAAACTGAGATCTAAAAGTAAGGAATGAGGGGAACAATGACTTGCCTAAATATAATGGCTCCCCCTTCCCCATCATAATACGTTTTTAGTTTGAAATCTTGTTAATAAGAATATAAAATAAATTACCAGTTTATTAAAGAAATTTGCTATGAGTATAGATATTGCATTTTTTTTCTGTCCTAGAAGATAAAATCGGCGTCAAAGTAACATGATGAAGAGACTGAAGAAAATTATGAAGTAAAAGAAGAAAATCATCAAGAACGTTGGTACCTAATAATGTATATCAAAGTTTAATCCAGAGAAGTAGATAACGATGAATTTATGGCAAATTAGATTTATGTATTAAGGTACTTAATAACCCATATTTTATATGACTTCCCACAAAACGTCGTCAGTAAAGACTTAGGAAGTGTATAATATATTTTTGTCTTCTGAGAATTTTAAATTTGCGATATAATCATGACTACAAGCATAAATCGAAATAATTCCAAAAACCTAAACCATGCATGTTACTGTTCGGCAAAGAGATTAAATGCTCAGCAATAAAAATTAACATTTTAATGATAAAACGATAGCTTTAAGAGTAAGTTTGACATTTTCAGATTTATTTGGGACATTGGTAACTGTTATTGCAGAGAAAAAAAGTTTCTTCAAATCTCTCTGTGTGTACGATATTCAAAGAGGACGTTGGTAATCATGGTCTTCCACAGGTCTCTCTATGTACTATATTCAAACAGGACGTTGGTAACCATGGTCTTCCACGGATCTTTCTATGTACCATATTCAAACAGGATGTTGGTGACCATGGTCTTCCACATATCTTTCTATATACCATATTCAAACAGGATGTTGGTGACCATGGTCTTCCACAGATCTTTCTATATATACCATATTCAAACAGGATGTTGGGGACCATTGTCTTCCACAGGTCTCTTCTCCTTGATGCACATAAGTCAACCTCTTTTCCACGGTCTGTCCTTCTTTTAATCTTTCCAGTTACGACAAGATATTCATTTTTCTTATTTCCTCATAACGTGTCCAAGAAACTCCAACTGTCTTTTTCTGATGTTAGCCAGTAGCTTCTTCCTGCAACCTGCTCTTGACAAAATATCTTTATTTGAGGTGTGACTGTGTGACTTGTATAACATCAAGATGCACCGTAAGAACCACAAATCAACTGCTTCTATTCTCTTTTCCATACATGTTGATATTGTCCAACATTTTAATGCATACGTGAGAATTGGTAAACCATAGCAATCCAAAATTATGAACTTCGTCACTATAGAAATTTTACTCTTTTTCACAATCTTTTTCATTTTCAGAAATGCATCTTTTACATCCTTATTCTCCGTTTTATTTCCTGATCATATTTACCATCTGATGTAATCCAGATTCTCAGGTAGTTGAATTTATTGACCTGTCTTATCTGTTCCTTATCTACATTGACATTACATACAGGAATGATCTTCTATGTAATTACTATACATTCTGTCTTCCTACAGCTAATACTTAAACCATTCTTCTCACTTTCACTAACAACTTTATCTAAACATTTTTGCAGCTTTTCTTCTGAATCAGCTATTAAAACTGTGTCATCAGAGTCACTCAAGTTCTTCAAATTCTGTCCGTCAGTGATCAGCCCTGGTAAAACCTCAATCTCCTCCAGGATTTTCTCAGTATACAAATTAAACAAGTCAGCTGAAAGGACATATCCTTGCCTCACGCCTCTTCTTCAAATACTAATGCAAAAAACAAACAAACGTGAAGATATTATGGAATACATTTGTGGAGAAAAATAAGTTAAGCTGATCATCCAACCTGAGTTTTTCTGTATATTCTATATATGTTATGACTCTATATATGTTATTAAGCAAGCTTTACATTTGTATAGTCTTTAAACATGTTGAAATTGCTTTGGAAAATAAAATTATTTTGTTTTAAAAAATGTGAGGGCGCGAATGTTCTCAACACAGCAGATCACATCACACGCACACAGCACAACATAAACAGATACCTTATTGATAAAGGTTAACATTAGGACTATCATAAGCAATCAGATTCATATATTTAACGTTGACATCGTTTTTAAACACATCAAAATAGTTGTTTCAACCTCATTAGAAACAAACGAAATTAACATAAATGCGCTAATCTGGAAGTTTGTTGCCATGAGTAACCGTACATACAACTTGGCTATTATTAATTAGTTGTTTTTAAAATAAATTCAGCGCCACATAACCTAAACAAATGTTTTATTTCCAAAGCTATGACTTTGGTCTCGATAGACAGTCATAACAATAATTGTTCGTTCTCTTGTTGAATGTGAGCTCTTATGGATAGGAACATTTACAAATGCTCTTCTTATTCACCTTGGATCCCTAAAGGTTTATACAACAGCGTACGTTATTTTTACTAAGATTGTCTAGATCTCTATAACTATACGGAGTAACATACGTTAATAGACTTAGATCTTAATAAGTTGTTCGAAATAAAAGGGTTTTTTTTCACCAGAATCTTACTTATAATTAGATAGACAGATGTTTTTTTTATTAAGATATGATCCGAATCGTTATAAACAATTAGACAACAATAGCATTTTGATCAAATTTGAATATGGATCCCTATAGATAAACAGAACGATAGTATATATATATATATATTTTGTTAAACAAGACCGATGTCTGTAGGTTTACTTTCTTCTTAGAATTCTTCTCTAGAAGTCGATAAGCCGTCTTAACGTTGTTAGAACAACGGGTAAAAGTTGTAGCTAGTGATGAGTTGGCC